CTATAGAGAGGCTTTGGGATTATTTTGGAAAAGCTTTGAACTAAAGCAAGTCCAATGGACCCTCTTCAGTCTGCAGTTGTTTTAAGTTGTTTACTCTAGTAATGATGATTTTCAGTGTTCTGGTAACTCTGGAACAGTATAATTGCTACTTACTCTTCACCTGGTTATGCTAGAACAACTTAGGGTCCCTGGAGTCATTGTTTTCTTTAAGTAAGGAATCAGAATCACCTGTAAATGAGTCATTAAAACAAACATTATCCAAAGCTGTTCCATAAACATGTGAAACTTTAAAAAGCTCTTCAATAATTTTATCTCCCAAAGTCATTTCAATGAAAAGGCAGAAAAATTAGAAATGAAAATAGCTAGGCAGTAATCCTGGCTTTCTCATTTATTAACTTGCTGTGTGATAGAAACAAATGAAATCATCAGTGGGTCTGTTTTCTCACATATTCTGAAATATAAAATATTGGGTTGTCAGAAAAGTCATGACGCATGTTTGCAACAGATGGCACTAGTTCATTTTTGGAAGTACTAGAGCATTCACATCTATGTTATTGCTAAGTCATTTGACAGCTGACAGTTGTAGCTTCATTCTAAAAAAAAATTGAGCCATTTGGTTGAGTTTTTGAGATTTTACAAGTTGAACATGGAAGACCAAACTCTGCATTTTTGCCATATTTTACTGTTTTACTTCCATAAAGGGAAGAATGCGTGTCAAGCTTGTGAAAAGTTGCTTAAATTTTACAGTGACAATGCTCTAACAAGAACATCAGTGCCAACGATGGTTCACGAAATTCTGTGCTGGTGATTTTGATCTCAACGATGCTCCTCGGTCACGGAGGCCCACCGAGGTTGATGACGATAAAATTGATCGAGTCAAACCCATGTTACACGACATGAGAGATTGCAGAAACATTGAACATCCATCATTCAAGCATTCATGACCACCTGAAGAAGCTGGGATACGTAAGTAGGCTCGATATTTGGGTTCCGCATGAACTCAAAGAAGTTCATTTGACGGTGGGTATAAACATCTGCATTATGTTCATTAAACGTGAGGAAAATGATCCTTTTTTGAAGTGACTGATAACTGGTGATGAGAGTGGATTGTTTTCAACAATGTGGTGCACAAACGATCCTGGTCCCGATGTGATGATTCGCCTCAAATGACATCAAAAGCATCAGAGGAAGGTTATGCTCTGAGTGTGGTGGGATTTTAAAGGTGTCGTGTTTTTCGAGCTCCTACCAAGGAACCATCAATTCAAATGTGTACTGTCGGCAATTGGACAGTTTGAATGAACCATCATCCAGAAACGTCCAGAGCTTGTTCATTGTAAAAGAGTTGTGTTCCATCGCGACAGCGCAAGACCACACACAAGTTTGATCACCCGTCAAATATTATTGGAGCTTAGATGGGATGTGTTGCCACACCCACCATACTCGCCATCAGACTTCCACTTGTTTTGCTCTCTTCAAAACTCCTTGCATGGTATAACATTCAATTAAGATGAAGCCGTAAATCAGCACCTTGTTCAGTTTTTCACAAATAAAGACAGGTCCTCCTATGAATGAGGAATTGTGAAGCTCACTGAAAGATGGCAAAAGGTTATCAAACAAAACGGGCAATATATCATTGATCTTTGTTCTTTATATAAATAAATGACCTTTGAAAAAAAATACGTCATGACTTTTCTGACAATCCAACAGAACTCAGGATGTGTGGTAGAGTCTGAATCAGAAGAGAAAGGTTATTACAGATATTTATTGTAGAGTTAAAGTAAAAAGTAGCAGTCCAGAATTGATGAAGTGTAGTGAATGGTTAACAGACAAATGGAATAAACCCAACTGAAAAAAGAATGGCAATCACACTAAAAGGAGGTATCCAAACTATTTTTCTCCTCTCAGGAGAAATGTTCAGCTCTGATGTTGGTGTTGGTTATTCAATTACCCAATGTTACCAATAACCAATAACCAATGAATGTTAATTCAGAATTAAGAGTTACAGAAACCTCCAATAGTTTTAATATTAACTGAACCTGAGGGCACAGTATAATATCCTTACAAAAAGTATTTAATGGTGTTAATACTATAGTATTTAATTAATGGTTAAAGAAGGGGAGGAAATGAACTAAAGTTTCCCAGAATATTTTTTTCCAAAGATATCTGTGTCCATAAAATTGCCTGGATGAAGTTTTTTTTTTTAAACTACATTCACTCGCTTGTCCTCATTCAGTGTCATAGCTTTAAATAGCATTTCTACACACTGATTCTTCCAAATTTCCAACCTAAACCACTCCTGTGATGCCCCAGATTTGAATCTGCACCTCTCTACATGATGTCTAGTAAGCACCTCAAATTTGACATACCCAAATTGAGCTTTGGATGTTTTTCCCATCGTAACTACTCTTTTGATATCTTCTTTGACTCAGTAAATGACAACTCCATGCTTCCAGTTTCTTAAGCCAAACCTTAGAGTCATTCTTACCTACTCTGTTTCTCTTACACTCTACATTTGATCTGGCATCTGGCTTCAAAACATGCATAGACTCCAACTGTTACCACCAGCCAAGCCAGCATTGTCTCTTGCCTGAATTATAATTCAGCTCAAAACCTTTCAATGGCCTCCCATTTCAGAAAAAGCTAGAGTTCTTAAAATGGTCCACTAGTTTCTACATGATTCCCCCCTACTTCTTATCTCGTTGACCTCAGCTACTACTCTCTGAACTCACTGTGCTTGGGCCGGCCGAGTGGCTCAGTTGGTTAAGAGCTCGCTCAAGAGTTTGAGCTCTGAGCAACAGCAGTTTGATGCCCAGCCCGAGCTGAGCTGCCGCTGAGCTGCCAAAAGGTGGCAGGATGGCTCAGCTAAAAAAAAAGAAAAAAAAAAGAACTCATTGTGCTTCAGCTACCATCTCCTCACTGTTCCTAGTGGTACATTACTGCTGTAGGACCTTTGTACAGGGAGGCCTTCCCTGGCTACCCTATTTAAAATTTCAATACGCTTCATCTCTGCTTTATTCATCTTACCATTTTTCATTATCTAACAACTACATAGGGTTATTGATTATCTCCCACAGTGCAACTTCTATAAAGAGAAGGATTTTTGTCTATTTTAACCACTACTATGTCACCAGCACCTACTGTGACTGGCATATAGTTGGCTCTCAATAGTTATTGCTTGCATGAAGATATTTGACCTCACTGGTAGACTTTGTGATTGAATTGCAGATAGTTACAAATCATATATTTATGTAATAAATTACATTAGCATTGAGAAATAGTTGTATTCTTTCTGACTAAAATGACAGATCTAGCCCATCTTTAATATCATAAAACAATCAAGTAAGTAATATATTTCATGATAACAATTTTTATTAGAAAGATTAAAAGTGAGGTCGATTTTTCGCTCTCTTAGGCAATTCCTATAAAATATAAACAACTCTCTTGAAATTTACTATTTCAAAAAAAGTATTTTATTTGTCATGTTCTAACTAAGATTGTATTTATTTTCAATGATACTCATTAGTCATAATTTTGCAGTTTGTCCTTATCTTTATTGTAGAAAATTAGCCCTAACTTTTTCAACAGGAACAGAAACTTATGCTGTTATATAACTAATAACATCTTTAGTCGAAACATTACTTTTGCCAAAATAAAGTTCAAAATATTATAACAATTTAGTATATAAAAAATGATAGCTACTTTATCACAATTTGGTAAAATTTAATACTCCCTAATTCATTACATAGCTTTAGTGTTAATGGCTTTTGAAAATCAGTCCAGATGATGAAAATTATTCTATTTACACATTTTCAAGTGTTTTGTTTAAACTGGAATATTTTTCTAGCTACTACAGATGGTGGCCTGGTTTGGAAATACTTTTACATTAAAAGGCTAATGACCTATGTATTTCTACCTTGTTACCATATTAAATGGTGTTGGGCCACTTATAAAATGCGTTTGCCTATTTGGGCCAAGTAGTTTAAAGGGATGTGTTATTTTAACAAAGTTGGTGAAGTCACTTCATTACTAAAATGCGGCATAACTCAAGAGCTTTATGGTAAAATCCAGTTTATATGTATACTTTTTTTCAAAGCAAATACTGCTATGTAGATTATCACACAGCACGAATATATCCATTTAGGTAGATATTCTCAGATTTAAGAAGTATGTGTCATCTGTTCTAAAATGAGGTCTGCAGCCTCAGCATCTACATCAAGTCTGACTGTAGGCACCAAATAAGTATTTTTTGAATTGAACCATAAAGCTGAAGCAAACTTTGACACACTTAAAGAGAAATGCACTGGAAGGTATTATGTTAAGTGAAATAAGTCAGAGAGAGAAAGACAACTACCATATGATCTCACTTATATGTGGAATCTAAAGAAAAACCTAACAAACTAGAAACAGACTCATCATACACCAGGGAACAAACTGATGGTTGCCAGATGGGAGAGGTGTTGGGGGGCTGGGTGAAAAAGGTGAAAGGATTAAGAAGTACAAATTGGTAGTTACCAAACAGTCATTGGGATGTAAAGTACAGTAAGTCCCAGACTTACCAACACTCGAGTTGCGAACAAATCGTGGAAGTAGCTCACGTGGCTGCCGGACATTGTCACAGTCGTGCTGCTGTGTGCTTACTGTACAGCGCAATAGTGTACAGTAGTCCAGTGCTCAATCAGAGCCCAGGATGTCCGGAAGCAAGAGGAAAAGCAGTGGTGATGTGGAGGGGACTGCTAGGAAGCGCTAAAGGTGTAGAAGACTCAATTTGTTGGACTTATGAATGAATCCGATTTACAAACGTTCTTCCTAAACGGAACTTATTTGTAAATCAGGGACTTACTATACACCACAGTACACAAAAATCCAAACAAACACAAAAAGAGGAATGCAAAGGAACATGCGTGGTAAAGTCGTCCAATCAGAGCTGGGCTGGACAAGGGGGCGGAGAGGTAGTGCGCGCGCAGCTGGCTCTCCGGTGATTGGCCACGCCCAGGCGGGAAGCTTGAGCTCTTCTGCCGGCAAGGGAAGTGCTGCGTACCCTGATTTCTCTTGCCTGACGGTTTGGGACCCTCGCTGGTGTGTGTTCCTGGAGGACAACCTTCAGGTGAGGCTGCCTCAGCCTGTAGGCTTGTGTGGGACAAAGCCCGGAGGGACTGGAGAGCAGGCCTCGGAGGGAGAAGGGACGGTAAGCGGCAGAGCGGCTGTTGCCGCGTCCAGCGGGTCCCTGAGCGGGGTCTGAAGTGAGAAGGACCCCCTCGCTGCTGTCTGGAGTGGCTGGGGGCGGAGGGCGCGTGGTGGGTTTGCGTTTGTAGTGGTGGGAGGCCCTCGGGAGAGGTGAGGCCCGACAGGGGTGCCTCCGCACCAGCTCCACGGTCCGGCCGCCATGCTCCGGCGATGCTTGGGTGTCTTTACTCCAGAACTAATCTACCAACACTCTCCTACCTGGTGTTAATGAATTAATTAACAACAGATTTTTGTAGGCCGGTTTAGTGGGGCCACAAAGTCAAAGAAACAACTTAAGCCACGAAGTGAAATAACTACCACCTAATGTAGATGGAAAGCAAAAAGGCAGAAACGGAGAAGGTTTGTTGCTGGTTCTTGGTTGTTGGTTTACAGTCTTGCTTCCCATCCCCCTTCAAAGCCCAAACGAATCCATAGATTCTGGTCATGATCCCCATTGTCGAGCTACATCCTTGACTATCTCCCCTTGAGGGACCTTCATCATCTGTACTTTCATAGGACCTTATGTATTAAACAGCCAATAATAAATATATGTAATCATATTCCAGATAACATTGAATGCTTACTATGTGTAAGTTTTGTTCTAAGTGCTTTAAGTATTTCATTTGCTCTAATAGCCCTATGAGTAATTATGATTATTGTACCCCTTTTTATAGATGCGGAAATGGATGCATGAAGAGGTTAAGTAACCTGTGCAAGACCACACGCTAGGAAGTGTCAGTCCAGATATATATTCAGGTATTTACCTCCAAATTTGTGTTCTTAATTATTGCACTACATTGCCAAATAATTTAGGCCTTCTGGTATGTTGCAGCTGTCAGCCTGGACTTGCCATTTTAACTTGGGAGGACGGAAGCAGGTAGGATGTTAGTCATCTCAGAAGTTGTAGCATCACAACAAGGCTGACAAATGGGCATTATTGCTGGGGCCTGGGAAAAGGCTCAAATAGCCCTAATTTAAGAGGTGATGAGGATGCTGAAGTACAATATTTAGGGGGGGAAATATACTGATGTCTGCAGTTTACTTTGAATGAATCAACAAATTAGATGGATTGATGGATGCCTAAGGTCATATGTAAATGGAGAGCCAGAATTCAGGCCTGCTTAGGCTGGCTCTAGAGCAGCGGTTCTCAACCTGTGGGTTGCGACCCCTTTGGGGGTTGAACGACCCTTTCACAGGGGTCGCCTAAGACCATCGGAAAACAAAAAGATGTTTACATTACGATTCATAACAGTAGCAAAATTACAGTTATAGAGTAGCAACGAAAATAATTTTATGGTTGGGGGTCACCACAACATGAGGAACTGTATTAAGGGGTCGCGGCATTAGGAAGCTTGAGAACCGCTGCTCTAGAGTCTGTTTTCTGAACCGCGATTCTGTGCTGCTTTTCACTTACATTCTCAAATTCATTATTTTTTTATTAGTTTACAGGATAAATAGGGTTGAAAAATTAGAAATCATATATTAGGTCTAGAAAGGTTTCAGGGTTTAAGGTGGGGATGAAAGAAATTTTACTATCTAGTCCATTCTCTGTATTTTACAAATGAAGAAATTGATATCCAGAGAATTTAAATAGCTTGCCCCAAATTTCTAGTTACTGTGTTTTTCTAGTGTTCCTTTTAAAAAGGTGTTGGTAAGAATTTTCAGTTTTACAAGGGCAGTCTGACTAAATGCAAAGAATAAACCTGGTACATTTCATGATGTGGATGTCATTTTTATTAGTGATATCTAGAATTTATTACTTTTAGTAGGCTCATCATTATCTTATTATTTCAATTGAGCTATTGTCATCTAAAAGCCTTGAGTTTTTCATCTGAACTTCCCGTTTTCTATTTCATTTGATCATTAAGTAACTGAGTCCAAGTGCAGGGCCTAACCTTTGTGTTTTTAAATCATCTTGTTGCAGTTAGCTTGTATCAGTTTTAAATTTGTGTCAATTATATCTAGGAACGTGTACTATTCTGCTGACTTATTATAAAAAGGAAAAGGAGGTTAATGAGGTTATTTTGGCATTACTTGTTTGGACAGAATCTGTATTGACCGCTGGTATTGGTAAATACTGCTTCTAAAGTAAACAGTCACAAACCATTTTTGTAAATTTAATTAAAACCATTAATTTGCTCCAAAATTATGTTTAGAGATCTATTTTGTGCTTGAATAAAAAACAGAGAATGTCCTCTTCTAATCCTGTAAACTGTATAAAGGGTTATTATTTATCAAATACTCGTGTTTCATTATTTTAACATTGCTGAAATTAGGAAATCTCTAACCATGATATCATGTCAGTTTAATTGGCTGCACTTTTTTCTTTCCTGGGTACATAAAATAATAGTGCATCTTACAATTGATAGCGTCGTAGATTTGATGAAACATAGTAATTAAAAAATATAGTTAGTGACACTTTCCCTATTTTAGCGGTAACATTTTTATTGTAGAAAATTTGAAATATACAGAGAAGAACTCAGAAGAAAATAAAAATTTCTGGCAATTTCAACACCCAGAAATAATCAATGTTAATGTTGTGGCATGTATTCTTCTAGTCTTTTAAAAATCTTTATAGAATTATAATTTACAGTTCAATGTACAGTGTACAGTTCAATGTGTATACTTGGTGAGTTTTGACAAAGTCGTGACACACTACAATCTGATACACGTTATGCCTATCACTCCCAAAAGTTCTGCCTGCCCCTTTGCTTTCCAATCTTTTAAAAAGTATATACATAGCTGCTCACGGCGGTTCATGGCAGCTCATGCCAGCTGTCGGCCACTCACGCTGGCCACTGGCCACTCACGATAGCGTACGGGCAGCCCACTGCAGCCCCACTACAGCCTACTCTGTCGCCGGTGACTCACAGCAGCCCAGCTCCAGGTCGAGCTGTTGTTCAGCATCTTAGCTGTAGAGGGCTCAGAGTCACTGGCCCATGTGGGATCTGAACTGGCGGCCCTGCTGCTCAGAGCTCGCGCTCCCAAGCCAACTCTTAACCAATGAGTCACTTGGCCGGCCCCTAATTCATATTTTCTTGATGATATATGATATGGAGTATCTTTTTATATACTTATTTGAAATCTGTATATCTTCTTGGTGAGATGTCAAGGTCTTTGGCCCACTGTTCAGTTGGGTTGTTTTCATATTGTTGCGTTTTAAGAGTTCTTTGTATATTTTGGATAGCAGTCCTTTTATCAGATGAATCTTTTGCAAATATTTTCTCCTAGTCTGTGGCTTGTCTTCTTATTCTCTTGACATTGCCTTTTTTCAGATCAGAAGTTTTTAATGTCAATGAACTCGAGCTTATCAGTTATTTTATTTTATTTTTTTTATGGATTTTGACTTCGGTGTTGTAGCTATAAAGTCATCCTCATACCCAAGGTCTTTTAGGTTTTCTCCTATATTATCCTGTAGGAGTTTTATAGTTTTGTGTTTTACATTTAGGCCTGTGATCCATTTTGAGGTAATTTTTGTGAAGGTTGTAAAGTCTGTGTCTAGATACTTTTTTTTTTTTTCATGTGGATGTCCAGTTGTTTCAGCACAATTTGTTGAAAAGACTGTCTTTGCTCCATTGTATTGTTTTTGTTCCTTTGTCAAAGATCAATTGACTGTATTCATGTGGATCTGTTTCTGGGTTCTGTATCCTGTTCTATTGATCTATTTGTCTATTGGTTCACCAATACCACACTGTCTTAATTACTGTAGTTTTATAGTAAGTCTTGAAGTCAGTCCTAACTTTGTACTTCTCTTTCTATATTGTGTTGGCTAATCTGGGTGATTGCCTCTTCATATAAACTTTAGAATCAGTTGGTTAATATCCACAAAGTGTAACTTGCTAGGATTTTGTTTGGGATTGTGCTGAATCAATAGATTAAGTTCCATGACCATAGACTATATCTCTCTGTTTATGTAGCTTTTCTTTGATTTCATTCAGCATAGTTTTACAGTTTTCCTCACATAGAACTTGGACAGATTTTGTTAGATTTATACCTAAAAAATTTTTTTTTCTTTTGGTGCTAATGTAAATGGCATTGTGGTTTTTTTTTTTTTCGGGGGGGGGGAAGGATCTCTGTCTCTTTATTTAAGCCTGGTCTTGTGGTGGCAACCTTGCCAGCTGAGGGTGAAAAGGTGTGTGATGGTTCCAGAACATTTTGGAGGCTTCAGGGGTGATGCTGCTCATGACCAGGAGTCCCCACACAAACCAAAGGGACTAATGAGTTGTGGAAGAGGAGCCCTGAGACAAGTTCTGGAGAGACAGAATGCGGGGGAGGGGAGGGTATGAGAGGCCAAAGGCAGCACCCAAGAAAGCTGGCTCATCCTCCAGACGTGAAGCTGCCGGGCAGAGCTCCCTTGTCACGGGGGGGACGGCAGGAGGTGTGCCTTGGTGCGCGTATGGTTTCTTGTCAGAGCGAACCACCACCCAAGGATGTTGCAGCTTGCGACAGCCGGCTACCCCTTATCTCCTCATTCCTTGCAGTACTGGATTCCATCCCCCTCCAGGTCCCCGCTTAGGGGCTTGGGATGCCAGAGAGCCCCGGTTCGGATCCCACATATGAGGGCCAGTGACACTGCCCTCTACAGCTAAGATGCTGAACAACAGCTCAACCTGGAGCTGGGCTGCTGTGAGTCGCCAGTGATGGCATAGGCTGTAGCACCTTTGGCAGTGGGTTGCCATGGGCTACCGTATGTAGCCAGCAGCCAGCGTGAGCGGCCAGCAGCTGCAGTGAGCAGCCGTCCAGAAGCTGGCGACTGATCTGCCATGCCCGGGAAGAGCGTAATGATGGTGCCAACTTGGGCCAGTGAAGCAACGTCCTCCACAACTAGACTGAAGAACAAAAGGACAGCAACTTGTCTGTTCCCCTTCCCCCAATTCCCCAGCACTGTTCTCATCCCCCAATTCCCCCCCCAAAAAAAAATCTTAAAAAAAAAACAAAACCAAAAAACAAAACAAAACAAAAACATTCCTCTTGTCATTAAACATTCTTTTAAAAGGTGACTTCCTCCCCTTCTCCCATTCATGGCTGTAGAATCATTCATATAACAAATACTGAATGTTTCTTTGTGTTTGGTACCGGCAATATAGTGATAAGTGTAATGTAAGACTTCATGCCTGATTCAGGAGTTTACAGCTTAGGTGAACTAATAGGAGATTTCACTACACTGAAAAGTAGTTGGATAATGCACAGTTAGGAAGGGCCTTTAAGTCTTTGGAAGGAGATGAAGAGGACTCATGGTTAAGACTCCTAAAGGATAATGTTGGAATTAATCAGGCAAAGAAAAATGGGAAAAGGCATTCCCAACACTGTATAGGGGAAAGTTTGTTCAAAGGCGTAGAGGAAAAGAGAACAAGGCTTGCTAGAGTATATTCTAATGTGTGGGTATAACATAATTTATTTATCTAGTACTGTGTTAATGTACTTTAAATCTTTCCCCCCACTATATGTAATGCTAGCATGATTATCCTTATGCATAATTCTTTGCGTATTATATCTTTGATAATTCCTTAGGGTAAATCCCCAGAAGTGGAAGTTGTGGGCTAAACAAATAATTTTGGCAGCCATCTATGAGGTGTGATCAAACAATGTGGTGAATGTTTAAATAAAAAAATATTTATTATAGTAAAAGACACATTGCCATTGATCCCCCTCAATATACTCCTTTTGCTTCAAACACACTTATCCCATCGTTCTTACCACTTTCTGAAGCAGTTCTGGAAGTCCTCTTTCATGAGTGTCTTTAGTTGCGCTGTTGTGGCTGCCTGGATATCCTGAATCATTTTAATTTAGGGGAAGAACCAGAAGTCGCACGGTGCCAGTTTCGATGAATGAAGTGGATGAGGAAACACCATAACGTTTTTATTTGACAGAAATTGCCATCTACCAGAAGCAATGTGTTACACAGAGCGTTGTCATGATGGAGAATGATCTACAGAACACTTTAAAACACACCTTCTCTCAACAATAGCTCACACCCGACTGACTGCACCAAACAAGTTGAAACTTGTCACGCTGTTATTAAGGTTTGACGCGCAGCTTCCCATAGTGAAGATCCCTGCCTTTCTGTTGGATGGTACTTGGCAGCAGCATTCATTGTATTTTGTGATCAGAACAGAAAGGTCCCGTGTCATGCATCGCTTCTGGTACGGCAATTTTTGTCAAATAAAAACATTATGGTGTTTCCTCATCCACCTTATTCAGCAGATCTGGCACGGTGTGACTTCTGGCTCTTCCCCAACATCAAAATGACCATGAAAGGTAAATGTTTTGAATTGATTCAGTACATCGAGGTAGTCATGACAGTGCAACTAAAGACACTCACGAAAGAGGACTTCCAGACTGCTTCAGAAAGTTGCAGGAACGATGGGATAAGTGTGTTCAAAGTGAGGGGGAGTATTTTGAGGGGATGGGCTAATGGCAATGTGTCTTTTACTATAATAAAATTTTAAAAATTTAAACCTTCACCATATTTGAGCATATCTTGTACATCTTGGTGGTGGCTTATCTTGTATAGTGTTTTGTGTAGTAGCTTTGAATTGGAGTGCTGCTATTGTCTGTTGCAGAAGCATGATCTATTTACTGTTCTTATCTTCCATCTGTCTTTCCCTGTCTCCTGGTGGAAATAATATTGAGCAAAAGTTAGGAAACCTGGTTCTAGTCTCTTGATATATTCATTCAAACATATTTGTTAGTAATTGTAATGCATCTGACATAGTGGTTGATGCTGCTTATAGGATGGTGAAGAAAACAAGCATTATTGCTCCCCTCATGCAGTTTATGGATTAGTGGAATAGAAAAAAAGCAACCTACTTTACATATGTATGTGAATAATTATGTTTCCTTTGACTTTGAAACTACTATCTAAATTCTATTAAAGACTATATCATGTCTAATCTATAGTATTACCAAAATTGATATAATATATGCTCAAGTTTGCACTGTTCAATTTAAATCTTAATTTCTTTTCAAAAACCCTTTGTGATGGAAAATAAAATCTTACTAGCTGTTGAATTTCTTTTAAAGCATTTTACAAGCTTATTCTCTTATATTTTTAAAAACATGGGTGAAGTGATGAGCTATTTTTATATTTGGAAGTGATTCTGATCAGACTTATGAATGATTTCTGTTTTCAGTATTTTTCAGGTTTCTACTGCTGAATATGAAACGATCTGCAGCACCAAGTCAGTTGCAGGGGAAACCCTTTAAAAAACCAAAATTTATACCACCAGCAAGAAGTAATTCAAGCCTGAATGAAGAGTTTACAAAACTGAATCCAGATATAAAATTATTTGAGGTAAAAAAAAAAGTAACAGAAGCATTATATAGAGGAGCATGTATTTATTTTAAAAATGCCATTTAATGAGCTACACAATACCTACTGCCTATAGGAATTTTCAGCATTTCTTACAAAGTCTTCCATAAATTTTTTTTTTTTTTAGAGTAATGACATATATTGGGTTGTTGGAAATGTCATGACGTATTTTCTCTATGTTTTTCAAAGGTCATTTATTTATATAAAGAACAAAGATCAATCAGTGATATATTGCCCATTTTGTTTGATAACCTTTTGCCATCTTTCAGTGAGCTTCATAATGCCTCGTTCATAGAAGGACCTGTCTTTATTTGCGAAAAACTGAACAAGGTGCTGATTTACGGTCTCATCTGAATTAAATGTTATACCATGCAAGGAGTTTTGAAGAGAGCGAAACAAGTGGAAGTCTGATGGCACAAGGTCGGGCGAGTATGGTGGGTGTGGCAACACATCCCATCCAAGCTCCAATAATTTTTGACTGGTGCTCAAACTTGTATATGGTCTCACGTTGTTGCGATGGAACACAACTCCTTTACAATGAACAAGTTCTGGACGTTTCTGGATGATGGTTCATTCAAACTGTCCAATTGCTGACAGTATACATTCGAATTGATCATTTGGTTCCTTGGTAGGAGCTTGAAAAACACAACACCTTTAAAATCCCACCACACTGAGAGCATAACGTTCCTCTGATGAATATCTGCTTTCGATGTCGTTTGAAGCGAATCATCATGTCAGGACCAAGATTGTTTGCACACCACATTGTTGTAAAGAATCCACTTCTCATCACCAGTTATCAGTCGTTTCAAAAAAGGATCATTTTCCTCACGTTTAATGAGCATAATGCAGATGTTTATACCCACCGTCAAATGAACTTCTTTGAGTTCATGCGGAACCCAAATATCGAGCTTGCTTACATATCCCAGCTTCTTCAGGTGGTCGTGAATGCTTGAATGATGGATGTTCAATGTTTCTGCAATCTCTCATGTCGTGTAACATGGGTTTGACTCGATCAATGCCCTTATTTTGTCGTCATCAACCTCGGTGGGCCTCCGTGACCGAGGAGCATCGTTGAGATCAAAATCACCAGCACGGAATTTCGTGAACCATCGTTGGCACTGATGTTCTTATAGAGTATTGTCACTGTAAAGTTTAAGCAACTTTTCACAAGCTTGACGCGTGTTCTTCCCTTTATGGAAGTAAAACATTTTTTGGAATGAAGCTAGAACTGTCAGCTGTCAAATGAAATAGCAATGATACAGATGCGAGTGACTCTAGTACTTCCAAAAATGAACTAGGTGCCATCTGTTGCAAACATGCTTCATGACTTTTCCAACAACCCAGTAATTCGGTATATAAAATAAACTTTTGGTTACCCGTAAAAAATACCTCTGTGAGGGAAGGAGTGGAAATTCTTGTTAAAAAAAAGTTATTCTGATTATTGTTCTTTTTAAAGATACTACATAAAAAAGTGAAAACTTTAGACAAGATACTTTAAAGAGAAACATGTAAATAATGATATATATCACTATTCTGGACATATCTTTTCATTTTACTTTTAAAAAGTAATGCTTGAAGCAGTCTTAAAATATATTCTTTACTACTAAGAGAAAGGATTGTTTGGGTCTTATGTATATAAAAGGTATATAAAGGTATATAGAAAGTGTATAACATGGGCAATCCACACTTCTGCTACTCTACACTTCTCTGATCCATTTACGCTATGGAGATTAAAGTCTACTAATCGTTTTTATCTTATTGTGGTAAAATATATATAATAAAATTTGCCATTTTAACATTTTCAAATGTGCAAGTGTTACCGGATAGTGGGCCTTTCTCAGTGTGATGCCGGGGCTTGGTTCCCACACTAGGGGTTGAACCCAGGCCTCCTGGAGGAGAACCGGGAATCCTAGCTGCTACTTTGCTGGAGTATGGGCCCTACTGAATGCAATGTCCAGGTTTTTGGTGTCTCTAGCAAAGAATCGAATGTTTAGTTTTTTTTTTTTTTTTTTTTAAGGTTTTATTGGTGAATTGGGGTAGGGGAATAGCATTGGGGAATCGGGGAAGGGTAACAGAGAAGTTGCTGTCCTTTTGTTCTTCAGTGTAGATGTGGAGGACGTTGCTTCACTGGCCCATGTTGGTATTATTGTGCTCTTCCTGGCTGAGGCAGTTGCTCGCTGGCCATTGGACGGCCGCTCACGCTGGCTGCCGGCTGCTTACTCTGGCTGCCAGCCACTCATGGTAGCTCACAACAGCCATTCATGGTAGCTCATGACAGCCCGCTGCAGCAGGGGCTGCAGCCTTCGCCATCGCTGGCGACTCATGGCGCCCAGCTCCAGATCGAGCTGTTGTTCACCATCTTAGCTGTAGAGGACACAGCGTCACTGGTCCTCATGTGGGATCTGAACCGGGGCCCTGCTGCTCAGAGCTGGCATCCCAAGCCAACTGTCAATCAACGTGCCACTCGGCCAGCCCAAATGTTTAGTTTTTTGAGGAACTACCAAACTGTTTTCCATAGCTGCTGCACCATTTTACATTCTCACAGCAATGTTTGAGTGTTCCCGTTGCTCTGCATCCTCAGCAACACTTGTTATTTTCTGTTTTTTTTTTTTTATTGTTTTGATTATAGCAGTCCTAGTTGGTGTGAAGTTGGATTTTTTTTTTGTTTGTTTGTTTGTTTTAGCTGAGCCATCCTGCTACCTGTTGGCAGCTCAGCGGCTGCTCAGCTCGGGCTGGACTCGAACCGCTGTTGCTCAGAGCTCAAACTCTTGAGCGAGCTCTTAACCAACTGAGCCACTCGGCCGGCCCTTGAAGTTGGATTTTATTGTGGTTTTGATTTGCATTTCCCCAGACTAGTGATGCAGAGCATCTTTTCATGTGCTTATTGGCTGTCTGTATGTCTTTGGAGAAATACCTATTCAAGTCCTTTCAGGTTTTTAATTGGTTGTTTGTCTTATTGTTGTTGAAAACATCTACTAATTTTTGACTCTGCCTTTTTTGGTCTGCATGTGTTTTCCCCTACATTTCTTTAGAATTCTGGCTGCAACATAAAGAGAAAACATAGTTTTACGTTTTAAATAGGTGTTTCTTTTTTTAAGATAGCTTTATTTAAATACAATCCACATACCATACAATTCACCTACTGCAATTGAGTGGTCTTTTGTATATTCACAGAGTTGTGCAATGATCACCAAAATGAATTTTAGAACATTTCCATCACTCCAAAAAAAAAAGTATGCATAGCAGCATTTATTCTCCATTTTTCTCTAAATCCCTCAGCCCTAGATATAATACCAAAGTCACAAGTACGAACACCAGAAAAAACTAGATAAATTTGACTTCATCAAAATTAAAAACTCAAGGGTGGCTGGTTAGCTCAGGTGGTTAGAGCGCAGGCTCATAACGCCAAGATTGCCGGTTCAATTCCTACATGGGCCAGTGAGCTGTGCCCTCAACTATATTGAAAACAACGACTTGATTTGGAGCTGAAGGGTCTTGGAAAAACACACTGTTCCCCAATAAAGTTTAAAGAAAAGAAAAAAAGTTTAATTAAAAAATAAAATTAAAAACTCAGAACCCCAAATGAGATACTACTTCACCCACTAATATGGCTATAATAAAAGGGATAATAATAAATGGGCAAGATTGTGGAGGATTGAAACCCTCATACACTGATGGTTTCTGTTTCTATAGATTTGCCCATTATGGGTATTTCATATGATCTTTTGTGACTGGCTTTTTTCAGTTAGCTCATTCATGTTGTAGCATGTATCACTAATTCATTCCTTTTTATTGCCGAATTTATTAGTTTTTTATTGCTCCTATAACAGAGTACCACACATTTAGTGGCTTAAAATAGTACAAATGTATTATCTTACAGTTCTGTAGGTCAAAAGTCCAACACAGATCTCACAGAGCTAAGTAAGATTCAAGGTATTGGCAGGGTTGCATTCGTTTCTGGTGGTTTTAGGAAATAATGTTTCCTTTGCTTTTCCTATGTTCTCTAGGCCATGTGCATTCCTTAGCTCATGGCTCACTTCTTCCAAACCAGCAATGGCAGTTTGAGTCCTCACGTTATCATCTCTGGTTTTCTGAAACTGGAACTCATTTGATTAGATTGGGCCTAACTGGATACCCTGGGACAATCTCTCCATCTCTAGGTCCTTAACCCTAATTACATTTGCAAAGTCCCTTTTTGCCATGTAAGATAACACATTCATAGGTTCTGGGGATTAGGATGTAGACATTGTTTGGAGGCATTATTCTGCCTACCACACTGAATAATATACCATTGTATTAATATAGCATTTTATTTATCATTTATCAGTTGATGGGTATTTGGGTTTCCACTTTTTAATTTATGAGGTATTATGAATAATGCTCATGAATATTTGTTTACAAATTTTTGTGTGGACATTTGTTTGTTTCTCTAGGGTGCATTCCTAGGAGTGGATTGCTGGATCATATGATAACTCTGTGTTTAAACTTTTGATAAACTGCCAGATTACTTTCCAAGGTGTCTGCACCATTTTTATTCCTATCATGAGTGTTTGAGGGTTTCAAACGTCCACATTATTGCCAGTTTATTATCTTTTTTATTACAGTGGGTAAAGTAGTATCTCGTTTGGGGTTTTGAGTTTTTCATTTTGATGAAGTCCAATTATCTAATTTTTTTAGTGTTCATACTTGTGATTTTGGTGTTATATCTAAGAAGGTCATGAAGATTTACTCCTGTATTTTCTTCTAAGAGTTTTATAGTTTTAATTCTTACATTTCAACTTATAACCCATCTTGAGTTAGTTTTCATGTGTGGTGTGAGGTTGGAGTCCAGTTTCATTCTTTTGTATGTGGGTATCTAGTTGTTCCAAAACAATTTAAAGATGTTTCTTTCCTGCATTAAATCATCTTGACACCCTTGTCTTAAGGTTTATTTTCTGATGCAGTTTGTAAGGACTAATTCCAAACCCAAAACACTGATTTAT